TCTTCACACCAGAGGTCATACAGGTGAGAAACCTTTCTCCTGTATTGCGTGTGGAAAAAGTTTTGGTCATAAAAGCATTTTAAGAATTCACATGAGAACTCACACTGGTGAGAAGCCTTTTTCTTGTATCACTTGTGGAAAGAGATTCAGTCACAGGAGCCTTTTAACAATTCATACAAGAAGTCACACAGGGGAAAAGCCTTTCACTTGTGTTACCTGTGAAAGAAGTTTCCGTGATAGAAGCCTTTTAACAATCCACATGAGAAGTCACACAGGAGAGAAGCCTTTCCCATGCACTGCATGTGGAAAAAGTTTCAGTCATAAAACAATTTTGAATCGTCACATGAGAACGCACACAGGTGAGAAGCCTTTCACCTGTGTTACTTGTGGAAAGAGTTTCAGCGGAAGAAATGGTTTCACTCTACACATAAGAAGTCACACAGGCGATAAGCCTTTCTCATGTACGACCTGTGGGAAACGTTACTATGAAAGAAGTGGTTTAGCTTATCACATGAGAACTCACACAGATGAGAAGCCGTTCGTTTGTGCTACGTGTAAAAAGGGTTTCAGAACACGATCTGTTTTGACACGTCACATGAGAACTCACACTGGTGAGAAGCCTTACACATGCAGTACTTGTGGAAGGAGTTTCAACCATAAATCTGTTTTAATATGTCACGTGAGAACTCATACTGGTGAGAAGCCTTTCCCATGTACAACCTGTGAAAAAAGGTTCTCCTCTGGAGGCAATTTATCACGACACATGAGGACTCACACGGGTGAAATGAGGTAATGCTAAACCTACAATTTGACGATGCTTGGTAACTTCCTGTGTTGAAGGTGTAGTAATTGACATGGCGGTCCAGACAAAGCTCTAACCAAAGCTGTAGTTAAGGAATCCTTAACTGAGGTATGGTGTCTGATCAACAAGGTGACAGGCACTAATTGTTTTCTACAAGTCGGTGAGGTTATTTCAAACAGAATTCTTACATCAAATATGCCTTTGTAAAACAATATTCCCATAACGTAGTAAGAGAGAGGGAAAGACAGAGCAAGGCTGCTCGTAAGCAGCAGCTACTATTTAGGTTATATAAATATAATTTATCTATTTGGTTTTTTAAAACATGATAGAAATTAATATATGGACTGGTAGGCTACAAATATATTACCCATTGGGGTTGATAAGCTTTTCTGAATCATTATTTTTATCTCTTAGTTTCTGTTTTGGGATGCAAATACTGCTGACTGACAACAGCACAGACATAAGTTACGTTTAGATTAGGGATGGGCAAGTATTTGCAGTTGCAATATAATAATGATAATTAAATCAAATCATAAAGGTCAGTTTTTACCTCAAATGACTCTTAGGCATGGGTCGGTATATAATACTGATGGTATATCAGCCTTATGTAAAAAGTATTATGGAATCAGTATTATGATCATATTGCAAAATTGTGTTATTTCAAAATGTCTAAATTAAAAAAGATGTTTGTAAAAGTTACTTGTCTTTGAAAGACATCTAGGACATGAGATAGAAGAAATATGAATTAATTTTAATTGTAATGCTATTTAATAAAGATAAATACATGCAGTACTTAACGAAATCCTTAAATTAAAACTCTGTCTTAACAGTTTTGGGGACTTGCTCAATAATTGAAATATCTCTTAGTCAAGGTTATGATTCATGAATGTAAGCGTGTTAGCTTTCTCTGTATTTAGCTTTTAGCTGTAAGGTCTAACCCCAAAATCCCACAACCGCCCCGCTCTGTTCCTCTCCGCTCCAGACCGCCTACAGCCTCCATGGTTCCTCCTGTCTTGCTCTGCTCTTAGTTATTTGGAGCTCGAGGAGAGAATGTGCGAATCAGTGCTGTTACCAGCTGTCTGACTCGGTAACACGGTGGTAATTGTTTAACACTTATACCTGATGCTAGGGGTAGCTTGTTCATTTCAAGACAGCATGGCTTTCCCTTGAAGTTAGCTTGCAATCATTGGCAATGTTTCTGCAGATAAGCCATCATGTTGGTGTTCCCTCCTTTGGCTGCTAATGTTCTAAAGCTTGACTTGCAGGTCAGATACCACCCTCCTTCAAGCCTTTATTGTTCGATTTCATGTGGTAGCCTAAATACTCAAACATGGCTGACTATTCTTTTAAAAGTTAAAAAGGGGCAGAGGTTTGGAGCATTCACCTACTGCTATCATAAAGCTACCTGCAAAACTAGCAGCTACAAGGCTGCACCGTGCACGCAACCTGAGTGATCTGACCCAATTGTCTCTGGCGAGAGATACATTTTAAAAAAGCACTACTGACAACATTACAGAAAACTTAAATGTTTTTGAAACTTGACTTTTTCATACCGGGCAACACAGGGTACCTTCTCACTGCAGGCTTTAATGCTCAATTCCGATTTTTTTGGTGAAATCCGATTCTTTTTGCCTGATTGTTCACATTTCCGTATATATGCAACTTGTATGTGATCTCCTGTGTGAACTGCATTCACACAACTTAAGTGTCTCACTTGTGTAGTGGAGGATGAGGTCTCTGTATTTATGGAGATAAACATGGTTGGTAGTGCTGGAGCATCTTGCAAACTTTCATTTCTTTCCCAACCTCAGCCAGTGCATCAACAACACAAACTTTTCAAAATGGTTGAAAATAAAGACTGCTTTCCGCATTATGGCCCGCTATGGTTGTTGTTTTTCTTCTCACTTCTGTGTAGCAAGACAGAATAGGGACCTTTGTTGAATATTAATGAAGTACAAGTCGGATGAATGCGACCTGGCCATTCAGACACAGGTCACATTTGAAAAGACTATATACATATGATTCAGGACCAGAAAGCCAAATGGGCCTGGGTCGCATTGGAAAGAAATCTGTGTTGTTCAGACAGACATGAAAAGATGAGATACAGGTCACATATAGGCAAAAAGATCAGATTTGGGTCACTTCATGCTGCTGTTTGAACGACTGCAGCCTTAGAAACAGGTGACCAGCCCATGCCTAACTGCATTTAACTACAGTAAGGCACCGACCTTCTCACTCCAGCCTTTAAGTGGCAGGAAAGTGGGTTTCCAGCCACACAGAAAGACCGAGTTACAACTAACATGCAGAAGTAAGCCCTTTTTCACCTGAGATGTTTTGCCTTTTAATGTTAAAATATTTTGCTTGACTTAACATTTGGTAAAGCTAATCTAAATGGTGACCTCCTTTACCTTTGTAACTTTTTCATTCATCACACAAAAGTTTGAAGAAGTTTTATCTTCTTGGTTAAAGAAATGTATTAATGACAAAGATTAACTGTCTAATAAATATACTATTAATAAAGGTTTGTTCCAACTTGTTATACCAAAATCTGTTTTCTTTTTTACCTTACTGGGACCAATTTCCTAGGAAAATGCTACTTGTGGGGTCCCCTCAGCTCGTGGAACAGTTCTCTTCTTGGGTTGGGTTTAGGTCTAAGGTGTGTGGTCCTGTCTTGGCATCAGAGTGAGAACCATTATTCAGATTTAATCAATTTTCCTGCTCAGTTAGTTAACATTTAGGTTCAGGGCTAAGTTGTGAATTTAGCCTGGTTTAGGGTTAGGGTGATGTATGTACTGGTAATGGCTAGGTTTAAGGTCAGGGTCAGGGCGTAGAAAGGGTTAAAAAATAACTGAAAATCAACGAGAGTCAACATACAGCGCTACATATAACAAGAGCATAAGTTTAAGCCAGGAAAATGTTTAATGATGTTGCAGGTTTTTGTAAAGAGATCAAAAGCTTCTAGTAGCTTAAAACCACCTCTACCATCAATGGTTAACGAAGTTTCGGCGCAGATAATATTGCAGCATTATTATAACTTGTTTTAGTGTATAAAAAGTAAATAACATGAAGAGGATTTTGACAGAATCAGAGCATATTTTGCTTAAATGTGTTTATGACATCTCAGGATAATGGGTTTGGTTTTAAACCAAAGCACGGCACTAGCATGTGCATTTATGCACTTAGGGAAATAGTAAATCTGTACAGGGCCAAAACTGAACCTCCCCTTATGTACTTTATTAATGATTCTAAAGCGTTTAGTTCAGTTAAGTACAGAAAATTCTTTGATAACTTAAAGAAAACGAGAGTCTGTAAAAAGTGCTACCTTGATTTGTAGAACCCAGCAGGACAATTTTTGTTTTTTGTTTAAATCGTCCAACAATGCCCTTAATGTTTCTAATAAAATTAAATACCTTGGTCATTTTATTACTCAGAGATGATGATGATATACAGAAAATTACGTAAGACTTATATCCCGGCTAACACCATAATATTATTCTTGAGCCTAGCTAAAAATAAATAATGGATTTAAATTATGCTTTTGCAGCTGACTGTATGTTGAGTTATGTTTACCTCCAAGAAGGTGAACTTCCACTCCATAAAGTCTTTAACATTGGGGTGGACAACTGCTCTGATTAACCTACATCATCTTCCTGTCGACTTTGACCAGCTCCCCCGCCTCTACTCAAGATGATGATGATGACTCCCACATCACTGTGTTTTACAGGAGGATTGTGTTCAGGGTGATGTACAGAGATAGATCGGTCTCTACTGAAACAGTGCTTTCTACTTTACATGTTCCTATGCCTTAAATTACCTGCTACAACCTGTGATTGATGTCTCTTGTGTCAATTTTCAATTATTCAAAAAAATCTGAGGACAGAACAGCTATTTGTTGACAGATTCTCCCACTGAGCTGGGGATCTATGTGCCCCATCCAGATAGTCCTGTTCTATATCTACTTTAAAATGTGTCCTTTGTACTATTTGCAAATTACAAAGTTTAACAGAAAAAGAAAAGATCAATAGGGTTGATTGGATGGATGTAATGGAGATTAAAGCCACCAGGGAGCACTGTTAGACTTTTAAAGATACGCGCTAATGAACCCCACGACCTCTCTCTAATGAACTGGAGACGTAACGTTAAACAGTAGGTGGCGTTATGCATGTTGGCAAAACTGCCATAAACCGAAGGAAGAAGAAGACAGGGAGCTGATGAAACAGAAGAAGAAGAAGCCACACGGAAGATTAGCACATTAGCTTTAGCTTCCCATCTGTCAGAAGGTAGCTGATGACTAGTCTAGTTGTTTTATTTAATCATGTGAATGTCTGCAGCAAAAATGTCTTCATTTCAGCATCCGAGCGAGGTCAAAAACGAGCAGTTAATTCCAGATGAAGAAACATTGTATGACTTTAAAGAAATTATTGTCAAGACCGAGGAAGAGATCGATGAATGGCGCAGACAGCTGAACTTTAACCGCGCACCCCTGATCATCTTACACCGAATAGGTGGGAAACCCCGGCGGTACTTAGTTAGTTAGTTTGAAGCTTAGTTAGTTAGTTAGAAGCTGAAATCTACAGTAATGTCATAAACATCACAGATTTATGCGACACGGGAAGCTTTTTAAGCTGTTACACAAAACTAAATGACTGGGGGATGAAATATCAGCTCTAATTGTAAGATGCTTTGGACCTGGACTTTTTACTGATTCTTCAACTTATATTCAAATTGCTATTTGTGATCCTTATAGAATATGTTTAAACTGATATTGTAAATATGTTTTGTGCTTAATATTTACTTATAGAGCATATATTATTAACTGATTTAAATGATCACATTTGTGAGATCTCAAAGAGTTTGGATAGGGCAGAGAAAGAAGAAAAAAAAAATGACATTACTCTTACAATTCAAACTCAGACAGAATTTTCATTCATGGAAAATATAAGATCCAGCTTAGTTTGTAACTTTTATTCTTTTCTTATTTTAATTTTTGTTTTAGTTTTCAAAAATTTGTTATTAAGGCATCTCAAACCAGGACAGAAAGATTGAATCTAAATGAGTGACTGAAAACCTAATTTTTCTTGGCTATATATTATAGCAGCTTTGAGAATTGCTTGATACCGATATTGACCCGATATAAAGTTAGAACGAATCACACCTTCTTTTATTACTTATTTTATGCTGTAAAATGTTAAAAAGAGCTTGATCAGGTCATATCACTACAACAGGGAACACAAGTCAACAACAAAAGGTATGAAAACAACTGACCCATGTAAAATAACCAATGACTTACAGAAACCTCTGACAGAAGCAGATAGTTTCTATTAGTCACAGGTTGATAAGGTGTTATTAAGCGTTTCAACACATTGCCAAACTGTATCAATGCTTCATTAATACTGTGTCACTATACTGATACCTGCTGGACTACTAAAATCCCTACATGTAGCCCATTTGAAAGACTAAACTGACACAGATTTGATGTCCTAGTAATACTATAGTTCTATATTATATTGTATTATGCTTCCGTGCTTTGTAAAGTCATTTTTGCAAAGTTGGATGTTATGACTTTTTTCACTTTGCAAAGCTTAAAGTGCTAAAATGATCAAACTGTGTTTGCTGCATCTGTTGTTATTACTGTTGAATTTAGTATAAAGAAAAAATATTTTGCTTATCAGCAGCTCTGTCTCTGTCACTCTCCTGCTTTGTAGTGTCTTTTTTTTTTCTTATTGCAGTAAACTGGCTGATGTCTAATAACACAGTAAATGCTACTAATCAATAATGAAATTTGTTGCCATTGCTTAAAATGTATTTAAAAAAAAACAATTTGATTGATTTGTTATTGCAGCGGTAGAATTGATCCGATGGGTAAAACTGGGCCGACATAAACCAATGACGCTTATTTCCATCTAGTAGCTGATAAAAACACAATGCTTCTGTCTAAAGGTATTATGCCTGTTGTTTTCTGTTTAGTAATATCACTTAATCAAACCTTTTCTAACATTTCACACTACAAAATAAGTATTATAATTATCTATGATTCATGTAGCTATCATATCAGGTCAATATTGGTATGGGTCAGTTCTCAAAGGTGCAATATCGATATCGTACCAGATATGAAATTGTTGTGTTGGGGATATTGTTTATGAGAGTGATACTATTGCAGCACAGGATTGGCCCTGTGTTCAGTTTTTTTCAGGGTGTGTAACGGTAGGATTGCTCAAGTCCAGTCCTCAACAGCTACCATCCCATGATTTTTAGATGCATCTCTTCTCTAACACACCTGAAAATTTAGGCTCAATCCTCTCATTTAGCTCAGCAGAGGCATGATAATGAGCAACTCATTTGATTCAGGTGTGTTAAAAATGGGGTGGGTAAAAACGTTGCATGATAGTAGCACTTGAGGACTAGACTTGAGCCACCCTGTCCAAAGGGTATGGATGTATAGGTCGTAAAATATTGGTTATCAGCCATAACATCAATAGTAATGTTGGATATTGAAAGCGGCTTAGCTTTTCATATTAGAGCATTCCTACCTTAATGTAAAGGGTAAGTTTTTGTACTTAAACCTTTTTTTGTGTCTTTTCTCCAGATCACCCTGAAAAATCTGCATGTGAAGAGGAGGGGGTTTTAACTGAGATCAGCAACCAGAAGGGGGAGTCCACCTTAGTTCAAAAGGACCCAAATCCTCTGCAGATAAAACTTGAACAAGACGAAAGAGAACATCAACAGTTCAAAGAGGAGCAAAAGCAACTCCGCATCAGTAACAATGAAGAGTACCTTGTACTGAAACAGGAGACCAATGAGGTTCTTGTAATCCCTTCTAATGTGCTACAAAACCCCATTGAAACTGAATTGAACAGTAACAGAGTCATTTCTCTGGCCTCTCTTAAAGTCGAAAACCAAGATCAGGAAGGAAGCAGTTCCAAGGATCTAAGCAAAACTAGAGATGGAGAGCAGAAACAATATGATAGATGCCTTAAAACCAGAGAACAGAAAGACACTGCTGACAGTACAAAAGCAAAAACACAACTGAAAACTCCTCCTGACCAAAATATACAAACTGGTCAAATTTGTGATAAAATTACATCTCAAAACAGTCACTCAAAGACACATATAACAACTGTTACAGCTGAAAAGCCTTTCTTATGTACGACCTGTGGAAAGAGTTATAGTAGAAAGTCTGTTTTAAGGCGTCATGTTAAAAGTCACTCAAATGAGAAACCTTTCACGTGTACAACCTGTGGAAAAGGTTACAATGAAAGAAGTGGTTTGGCTTATCACGTGAAAACTCATACAGGTGAGAAGCGTTTTTCATGCATGACATGTGGAAAAAGCTTCATTAATAAATCTGATTTGAAATGTCACATGAGAACTCACACAGGTGAGAAGCCTTTCTCATGTACAACTTGTGAAAAAAAGTTCACCAATATAAGTAGTTTAGCTCGTCACATGAGAACCCATGCAGAGGAGAAGCCGTTTTTGTGTGTAACCTGTGGAAAAAGATTTTGTGATAAGAGTAGATTAACTTCGCATGTTAGAAGTCATTTGGGTGAGAAACCTTTCTCATGTATTGCTTGTGGAAGACGTTTCACTCGTAAAACCTTTTTAGTAATTCACATGAGATCTCACACAGGTGAGAAGCCTTTCTCATGTACAACATGTGGAAAGAAATACAGTGAAAGAAATGCTCTAACTTATCACATGAGAACTCACACGGGCGAGAGGCCCTTCTCGTGTTTTAAGTGTGCAAAAAGTTTTGGCCATAAAAATGTTTTGAGACGTCACATGAGAACTCACACAGGTGAGAGGCCTTACACGTGTGTTACCTGTGAAAAACGTTTTAGTCATAAAAGCCTTTTAACTATACACACGAGAATTCACACAGGTGAGAAGCCATATTCATGTAAACTGTGTGGAAAGAGATACAGTGAGAGAAATGGCTTAACTTATCACATGCGAACTCACACAGGTGAGAAACCTTTCACATGTTTTAAGTGTGCAAAAAGTTTTGGTCATAAAAATGTTTTGAGACGTCACATGAGAACTCACACAGGTGAGAAGCCTTTCTCATGCATTACCTGTGCAAGAAGCTTCAGTCATAAAAGCCTTTTAATAAGTCACATGAGAACTCACACAGGTGAGAAGCCATACTCGTGTAAAACCTGTGGAAAGAGGTTCGGTGAAAGAACTAGTTTAAATTACCACTTGAAAACTCACACCGGCGAGGGTCTTTTCTCATGTGTGATCTGTGAAAAAGCTTTCATTAAAAGATATGATTTAACACGTCACATGCAAACTCACACAGGAGAGAAGCCATTCTCATGCGTAACCTGTGGAAAAACTTTCTGTCAAAAGGGTAATTTAATATATCACATGAGAACTCATACAGGTGAGAGGCCTTACCCATGTAAACTCTGTGAAAAACGGTTCACCAGTGGGAGCAGTTTAACTGTTCATATGAGAACCCACACGGGTGAAAAACCTTTGTCATGTACGACCTGTAAAAAAAGATTTACCAGTGGAAGCGGTTTATCTTATCACATGAAAACTCATACACGTGAAAAGCCTATTTGTAATGTATGAATTATAGTATAGTTTAACTTTAAAAAGTCTAAAGCCTCTTTCCCATTGCAATAACCAAGTTTTTCAAACGGGTCAACCTGCTAACAAACGGCATTTGGCTCCCTTCCCATTGGCAAAAAAAGCTGGATCTAACCCCTAGCTGGAAAGCTGTGGCCTCTGTCCCCCATCGCTGTATGTCTGGTGACACCATGGTGTGAAAGTAAACAATGTATATCAACATGCAAGGAAAACAGGGCGAAGTAAGTGTGCTTTATTGTTTCACTCTTTTATCTGTCCGAATCCCTCTTACCAGCATTTTATTGAACATAAAGGGAGTTATGCTAGGTTGATAGATAGGAAGCGACTGGCATAGAGTGTTGACGTCTGTACGTTGCTTTCAATGGTGTCACTTAAATTGGAGGGTCAACCTGGTTCTGGTGGTCCTACTGCATGCCGATCAGAGCCGAGGCGATTTTAACGCTGGTCGCTTTCCGAGTCGTTTGACCCAGATAGACACTCGTCAGTGAGCTGTTCTCCCTGCCACTAAAAGCCGATTGGTCCAGGGTTTAAAATTTTTTTTTTCCGGCCAGTATGAAAGGGGTATAACTCATCTTGAGTGGATGTACACAGATTAGAAGCTGTACTGGATGTTTGTTTAAAAAAAACAAAAACAGTATGGCGAAAAATCTTATCTAATATCTCACCTCAGAAAATATTATGTAATGTGAGCTTTAGGTTTAAAGATTCTTGGTAGCTTGCTGTTTAGTAAAGGGAGAAATATCTGTTTAACAGCTTGATATGCAAAGCATTTTAAGGTGAGTTTTTATTTTAATTCTTCAGTAACCTTATGTAGATTGTTGGAATCACCCATATTTTAAATTATTTGTTTTAATGAAATATTCTTAAATACAATGTTTTTTTTTTTTTTACTTTTAAGAATCATTAATATTGTGTCTTAATGTGTCTTCTTACCTCTTGAACATATCTTGATGTGTACTTGTAGTCTATAAAAGTCCAGAAAAGTTTAATTTGGTCTCTAGTGTTTATCCTAATATGTTGTTGGGATTGTAACTTTCCATTTTCACTGTTTAATAATAGTATTTTCTGTGAAGCTGCTAAAAAAGGTCATGAACTAGTGGTTTACAATCTACTGACTGGCATTTTTTGTTATTCTCACAGAATTTATGAATATTAAGTTGAAAGATAGAAAATCAAAAAGCTGATCAGTATAAATATATGAGTCTTTACTCAATCTCCCATCATCAAATCTTCTGGTCTTGTTACATTTATTTGTTTTATTGAAAATGTACTTACAGAAGTGCAGAAATTCCTCTTTGTTTGCTATAAGCACTTCAGGGGATGAGTGCTTCAGCAGCCTTGACCAGTATGAAGTATTGGCTGAAAGACTTTCTTAGGGGTCAGTTCCTTCTGACAAAAGAAACAATGGACAGAACAAAGCGATAAGCTGGAGAAAACACTAAAATGACAATAAGCTTCATAGATGCGTTTATGTAACTTACTAGCTGGTGTTTGGATGGCACTGCATTGCGCCATCTGGTCATGTTTGTGCAGCGTGTTAACTTGTAGTTTCTTAAAGACATAACCTTACTGTTCTTTGTCGTCTTAATAAATACATGATCTAAATGCATTCAGTGATGTTCTCTAGTGTTAGATACTTCTACTTTGTTTGGGTCTTGTATAAAAGACAGAATTAAGAATCTATGTTTAAGTGTACCCAAAATTATTGTCTTCGTTCACTCTGCTAAGAATTATATTTTATAGACACAAAACTTAAAACACTTTGAAGAGAAATGAGCATACTTATCTCTTTTTGGAGTCTGTATTCAGTCATATTGTTTTAGTGTTTTTAAAGGTTACTTGTATTTAAATATTATCAGTAACATTAATGACACGATTAAAGTTTATGTTACTACTCTGGGTTGGTAGAGTTTTTTCTACGTGAGGAATTTGTATTTTTCTCTTAGCTTAGCAAGGTATGGCGAAAAAAAAAAAATGCCTGACATGACATGAGAAAAACAAATTTCTGCAGCGCTAGATACGATACCTCTGCTATCAAACTACAAATATGGCCAAAAAAGGTGTGCATTTGGTTTTAAAGCAACTGTATCAAAACTAGCTGCTGAGAGTTCAAAAATGGCTCAAATGCATGGCTGCAAGTTATATTTTCAGTTGTTTCACACTTTTTTGTTAAGTATATAATTCCACATGTGTTAATACATAGTTTCAATGCCTTCAGTGTGAATCTTCAATTTTCATAGTCATGAAAATAAAGAAAACTCTTTGGTCTGTACTGTATTCCTAGTGGATATAAATGCTTTCAGATTTACACAGTAGTGACTTTAAGATGTTTTATACTCTATTTTTTTTTATCTTTTGCTGCATTTATACTTGATATTATTTTCTCAGTATTTTTTATTTGTAAATGAATGCTTAAGGTTATGGACAGGCAGCCTGCAAATTAATTACTCTTTTGGAGTAATAACATTACCTCACACATATTTTTTCATTATTGTCTCTTAGTTTTGATTTAAAATAGTATTTATATGATGCAATTTAAATATTGCGAATAAATTCCTTTTGTTAAATCATACCAAAGTGTAACTTTTTACTCTGGTATCTTTTTTTTTATTTACATAGAAATTATTTCTTGTTCAAAGAGGGGTTCGTTTTTGTTATATTATTGATTGTATAGATGCTATAATTAAAAAGATAAGATTAAAACTGTATATTTACTGTTCTTATTAAAATTATTTTGCTATTATCCTTTATTTCTGTTGACTAATTGTTTTTGTAGGACTTCAATTGTGTATACAATCATTTCCTGCATCAGTCTACTCTGTTCCCTTTATTATTTCATTAATTAACCGTCTCAGATTTGTTTTCTCTTAAATATCTTTTTAGTTTCCGAGACAATTTTAAGGAATAAAAAAAAAAAAAAAAAACTTTTTGAAAGCAGTGTCTCGTCTATGCAACTATATACTAAACTACACTCAGGAACAGGGAGATGCAAATAAATTCCCCTCCTCGTTGGATGTACCAGATGCAGGAAAAGATCAAAATGAAAAAATGAATTGTTTAATACATCAGGAAGGGCAGCTATCTTACAGTTTAGTTATAATTATTAGATATGGTTGTTTTTTTTTTATTTTTTTTTATTTTCATGAGCCTGGTAGATGCGGGCTTCCATGCTTAGCAGTGTCTTTTTTCTCTATTGCAAAGAATGAAAAAGTACAAAACAAAGAGCAATTTATACAAGCATCTCAAATCAATTGCCATCAAAACATAAGGTCAGTGACCTGGGGTCTCTTTCATAAAGCATGTTTATGGAAAACTCTTAAGTTGTCTTAACCTGAAAACAGGGAAACTCTGACTTTGCCGGTTCACAAAGACAGTTTATTCAACCTCTGTTTCAGTCATCATGTTTTAGATTTTCCTCCCAAAAAAAAAAAAAAAAGAAGAGATTATGGTGATTTTTTTCAGATTAGAAGTTCCTTTTTTTAAATCTCAACCTCAGTATAAGTCTTCTATTAGTCTAACACTTAAACTAAATATTGTAATTGTTTTAGCTATGGGTGAAAAATTGCCATAATTATTAGAAATATATCTTTGAAAATATTTGTCCGTCAAAAATCTATATAATTATTTTTACTGATTGAGTGGAGTTGATTTTAATAAGCCTTTAAATAATATACCTATTAGCGGAACAAAAGTCCGTTTACAGTTTCCTCCGTGCACATGCGGCGAAACACACGGGATCATTAGCTTTCCTGTTAGAAAGTATTTCCAATACGGTTTTGTTTTCTAGGATTATAAATGTGATTTTTCGGAGTAAACATGTTATCTGATCAGCTCCAGAGAGAGATCAGCAACGAGCAGTTAACTCCTGCCGAAGAAAAATGCACTGAGGTTAAAGAAATGATGGTCAAGTCCGAAAAGGAGGTGAATGGTCAATGCAGACTGATGGTGGATTTTAGCCCGACTCCTCCGATCATCTTAGACCAAAAAGGTATGAAACACCCTCAGTCCTGAAGGTTTAGCGAATAAAAAGTTTAAGGAAAGTTAAGTGCGATGCAGAATTCGGGGTCTGACTTAAAGATATTGTGGAGGATTTTCGTCGTTTTTTTTCCTTTCTTTTTCTAAAGAGCCTTCTTTTTAAAGGCGCGTGCACGAGTCAATTTCTCCTCATGCACGTTCTGTTTAAAAATTTCCTTAAATCTCTCAAAATATTAGCATATTGTGATAAAGTTCATTGTTTTTTCATAATGTAATGATACAACTTGAACATTCATTTACCTCAGATTCATTGCACACTAACTGAATAATTTCAGGTCTTTTATTGTTTTAATAATAATGAATTTGGCATACAGCTCATGAAAACCCCAAATTCATATCTCACAAAATTAGCACATCATGAAAAAGGTCTCTAAACGAGCTCAGAATGAACCTAATCATCTGAATCAACAAATTAACTCTAAACACCTGTAAGAGATTCCTGAGGACTTTAAAACTCCCAGCCTAATCAAAACCCTAATCATGGGTAAGACTGCTGTCCAGAAGGTCATCATTGACACCCTTAAGCAAGAGATTATGATGCAGAAAGATATTTCTGAACAAATAGGCTGTTCCCAGAGTGCTGTATCAAGGCACCTCAGTGGGAAGTTTGTGGGAAGGAAAAAGTGTGGCAGAAAACGCTGCGCAACGAGAAGAGGTGACCGGACCCTGAGGAAGATTGTGGAGAATGGCCGATTCCAGATCTTGGTTTACCTGCGGAAGCAGTGGACTGAGTCTAGAGTAGAAACATCCACAGCCACCGTGCACAGGGGTTTGCAGGAAATGAGCTACAGGTGCTGCATTCTCCAGGTCAAACCACTTTTGAACCAGAAACAGTGGCAGAAAGGCCTAACCTGGGCTACAGAGAAGCAGCACTGGACTGTTGCTCAGTTTTGCATGTCATTTGGAAATCAAGATGCCAGAGTCTGGAGGAAGACTGGGGAGAAGAAAATGCCAGAAGTCCAGTGTCAAGTACCCACAGTCAGTGTTGGTCTGGTAGCCATGTCAGCTGTTGGTGTTGGTCCACTGTGGTTTATCAAGGGCAGGGTCAATGCAGCTATCAGGAGATTGTGGAGCACTTCATGCTTCCATCTGCTGAAACGTTTTATGGGTGGCCTTCTCCGCCTTATGGTATGTCACCTAGCAACCTTGACAGTTGACACACAAAGCAGGAAAGATTGAATACAAAACTTTTCAAAACAGTTTCTTTTTCATTTCTTTTTCTTTTTTTTATTGTAAAGTTAACAAAGGCTACACTCATGAGAACACAGGGTGGAATAAAAGTGGCAACCACTGGAGCATGAACAAATAAAAGCAAATGTAATGATATAAAGCTTAGACAACCTGCTGCTTTCATTTTGCACATCTCTGATGTTGCTGCAGGTGCACAGTTTTTATATTGTTAAAACACTTTACAGTACAGTGTTTCACTGTTTATCTTTTAACTCTTCACTATTATGTTATTCTTATTCATTTTTCAAGGTCCACATTTGTGTGACCATTATTTTCAATTTTTTTTTTTTGCTACTGTAAACACCAGAATTTCCCCAATGTGGGACAAAAAGGAGATTTTCTATTCTGTTGTATTCTATAAAAGGGGTAGAAAGATATAACTAAATCTAAACAATGTATGTATGAAAAAAATATGTCTTATATTCAACAAGAAAAAACACTTAGTTAAGCAAATTGTGCAAAATAGCAATTAAAAAATAAAAATCCTATTAGATTTATTGTCCCCACGCAGCAGATATAATTTGTCCTAAAATTACAGCCAAACCCATTTACACAGTAACATATAAAAACCTTTAGATAAATCAAACATTACCGCCTCATATCTGACTCAATAACAATTAAAACAACTATTTCCATTAATTTCAGACAAAACTATTCACATACTTGTATTATGTTAAACTGAACTTCCAATATTCACCACTGTTCAGCCCAAGTATTGTTTCCTCTGATCTCGGAGCAGCCAGCTTGCTTGGTCTTGCAATGAATCCTGGTAAAATCAAGGATAGAAAGGATACACTGGACCCATTCTTCAAATCGGGCAAAAAGAAGCATGCATTTGTAGGCCGCACAAATGCATGCTTGGTCTTGGGCCAATAAAAAAAAAATGCGAGTACAGACTTGTGTCCTCACCAAGTATTTTCTTGAGAAAAACACACACTATAATGCAATAATGCAACCGCTTTTGGCGTTTACTTAATATTTTGTTACTTTAACACAATTGTTTAATGTCCTACCCTACTAACATGAAACAATTACTAATGGCTTAAACTAAATACGATTAAGTAAATAGAAAAAATAGTTGCATTACTTTGGACTTGGGGAGAACAGGACACGCATCATAAATATGGGTCAATTGGAAGAGAAGCGTACTTGTGATGTCACCACACACTCAGCTCGTCTAGAGCCGCATTTCACCTCCTGTTATTAATAGTCTCTAGATAATAAAAAACTCTTTCTTTATTCATTTAGTGGGGGAATAATAATTAACAGTCAGATAAACACACTTTGTCCGTTCTCTGTCTTCTTGGAACAGTACTAGGGCTTAAGCCGATGGCGTTTTACGAGTACATGAGCACATGAGAACATACAAGTGCACATATTGAGAAACAGCCTTGGAATCCGACCAGACCTCACGCCACGCTATGACGTAAACGGCCTTCGGATCTGGCTTTCGGAGGACACATCCTATAAATTCGAACGCAGCCATTATATACGTGTACCCCTTATTGGACGCTGGCCGACGTGCCAAGAAGGCAGCCATCTTGGATAGAACTACAGTTCTGTCACAAAGAATAGGATATGCCTTAGATCTCATTTTAATAACATGAGAGACCCGTTAAAAGACCAAAACAAACTGCCGTTGTGGACGGCAACGTTCGAAGGACTAGCGGTGGATGTGGAACAATTCTCATTGATTAACATTACAGGTGAGTGTTATGCAAGACGTACATGAGTGGGGCAGAAGTTATACCTATTGCAGAGGTTATGCCCTAACTCAAGACAGAATCTTGTTCTTTGTATGTGTGGATCTTGTGCTGTGCATGTGTGTATTTTTTTGTGCTTGTATGAATCATTCTGTGAGTGTGTGGATCTTGTACTGTGTGTGTGTGGATTTGTCAAAATTTAGACCAATCTAGCTTCATAGATAAATGTCATGGTTAGACATAATTACAGGAACTAAAATGAATGTTAGTCAATGGAAAATGTTGATTAAGATGGAAATACAAACTGGGAAAATATCTTGGTCTCGATGGTGAAATATTGGTATGTGAATGTGCAGAATGGCAACTCAGGTAGAAAAGGAAGAGAAAGATTTAGCAGCAGTTTTGAATGGGAAAGACAGAGATGGAGGAGAAGAAAAAAGGAGGAAAAGAGGTGGTTTGACAGTCACAGACACATATTTATTCAGATTAAAATCTATTGAAACTAACCGGATGAGATATATGCAAATGTGTATATATATTTTGCAATGAAATATTAATATGATAAAGAAAGTTTTATATTAATATTATAAGATTATGTTTTACAAATATTTATATATTTATGTAAAATATATTTATATATTATAATTATTCAGTATTTTTAAGGATAGCTCTTTGATAATGAATATTATGATCTATAGAGGAGATGTAATTTAGGAAACGTCTGTCTGTGTGTGTATATCTATATATATATGTAGATATATATATATATATATATCTATATATATAGATATATATAAATAATTATTAAAAAAACATAGTTTGAAGAAGAGTTTTGACAAAATTAAAAGGAAAAAAAGCCTTCAGTTGGACACAGCATAAATTTACCACTCACTACATTTTGACAAAAAGTCTTAACAGTGACAAAAAATAAATGCAAATTAACATAAAATTAATAAAAAAAAACCAACAAAATAATAACTTTCGTTTGTAAATCACATTACATCAAATGTTCCTCGATATGAAAATACTCATTAACAAAGAGCAATCCTTTAAAATACTGAATAATCATATACAAAATAAATATATAATATTTGTAAAACATAATGGTATGTTATGGTATATGTTAATATAAAACTTTATGTTCATCATATTGATATCAATTTGTACTAAATGTAACCCTGCATATATCTCATCCAGTTTGAGTTTAGTTTAAATAGATTTTAATCTTAAATATGTGAAATCTAACTGAAGGGTAATTCTGAAATTTGCTTTGGTCTTTTAAGGGGTTGTGACATGTAGGAGATTAGTGTAAAATCTGAGTCGTCTTTCATGTGATTAAAATAAGATCTAAGGCAGCTCCTATTCATTCTGACAGCAGCTGAATTAACTGTGATCCGATCCAAGATGGCCGCCTTTCTGTAGCTTTGGCTAAGAGATAAGTTGGTAAATATTAAGAATAATATAAGCAAATAAGGAGCAAGAGAGAGATGTGTCTGAGAGAGATGCAGAAGCAGAGGAATGTAATCATTGTGAAGGATATGTTCTTTAGCTAAAATAAAATCTATTTCTTTGTCTTTTTTGTCCAGAACTGCCACAATATTATGTGTTTGAAGAGGAAAAGGATTCCACTGAGCTCCACCAGCAGGAGGAGAAATCCACCATAGTTAAAGAGGAACCAGAACCTCTGGAGATAAAACAAGAGCAAGAAGAACTAGACCATCTACAGATCAAGGAGGAAGAGGAGCAACTCTACATCAGTCAAGATGAAGAGAAGTCTGTGTTGAAAGAAGAGACTGATAGCACTTTGGTCATTTCTAATGTGAAAAGTTATTATTATGAAGCAGACCTAAACAGGAGCCAGCTCATCTGTCAGCAATCCCCTGATGTTGAGAACCAGGATCAGGAAGGTGGCAACTCTAAAGACCAAGAAAAAATCAGACATGAAGAAAAGAAAAAAGGTGAGAGATACCAGAAAACCTGGGAAAAAAAGAAATAATTTTTATGAAATGTTTGAGATCTTTTCCAAAAGCAATCACGCATGAATACACACATGAGAACTCACTCATATAAGGGACCTTTTCCATGTACAACCTGTGGTAAGAATTACAGTGAAATAATTTGTTTAATTGATCATATGAAAGTGCACACATGTAAGAAACCTTTCAAATGTGACAAATGTGAACAACTCGTCATTAGTAAAAGCAATTTTTTATGTCATATAAGCACTCACACTGGCGAAAGGCCTTTTCACACTGAAAGATGTGGCTTGGCTTCTCACATCAAAATGAACAGGAAAGGGAAAAAAGACGAGCATGAAATTCAAGCTTTTGCAAAATATGCATGTTGCGAGTTTTTTTCGCTTTGCCAGGCGTAAAGTGTAAGAGGACTTTGATCGAATTGTGTTTGCTGCATCGATCATTAGTAGTGTTGAATTTAATATCTAAAACTTTTTTCCTGATTCAGTAAACTGGCAGTGACAACAATGCCTAATGATGCATTAATTGCACAGCACAACTAATCGATAATGAAATTCATTGTCAACACTTTTGAAACCTTTTTTTTTTTTTTAAATCAATTTTGATTTGTTGTTGCAGATCCGGCGGGTAAAACTGGGCCGACATTAAACCAATGATACTTATTTCCATCTAGTAGCTGATAAAAACACAATGCTTCTGTCTAAAGTTTATGAAACGCTTTGTTTAACAATAAATGGGTAAGATGTTATCATACCTGTTGTTTTTTGTTTAGTAATATAACTCAATCAAACCTTTTCTAAAATTCCACACTACAAACTAAGTATTAAAAATATCTATGATTCTTGTAGCTATCATACCAGGTCAATATTGGTATCCGTAAGTTCTCAAAGGTGCAATACCAGTATCGTACCAGATATGAAATAGTTGAATTGGTGATACCTTAATGAGAGTGATACTGTTGCAGCACAGGATTGCAGGTATTTAACCGAAGTACACAAGTAATGTTGGCCCCGTGTTAATTTTTTTTTTTTTTGAGGGTGTGCAAAGGCAGGGATGCTTAAATCTATTCCTTAAGAGCCACCATCCCATGACTTTTAGATGTATCTCTTCTCTGACACACCTGAATCTAAAGGCTCAATCCCCTCATTTGGCTCAGCAGCAGCATGATAACAAGCCACTCATTTATTCAGGTGTGTTAAAACTGAGCTGTTAAAAAAAGTTACAAGATAGTAGCTTTTGAGGACTATACTTGAGCAATCCTGTCCAAAGGGTGCGGATGTGGAAAAAAAATGGGGGAAAAAGCGCTGAATGTCGGAAAAACTGAACAATATACCAGTCTTATGTTTACGTTTGATCACCATGTTTATATTTTACCAATGCTGCACTTTAGAAATGGAAACGTCTTCAGAGCTGTACTGAACGAAATTTCCTTTTGTATACACTAAGTGTATACAAAATGACAATAAAGTTTGTCTAAGTCTAATGTATAGATCGTATAATATTGGTTATCAGCCATAACATCAATAGTAATGTTAGATATCGAAAGCAGCTTAGCTTTTCATATTAGGGCATTCCTACATTAATCTAAAGGGTCCATTCTTGTACTTAAACTTTTAAGCCCTTGTTTTGTGTTTTTTCTCCAGATCACCCTGCGAAATGTAAAGAGGAGGGGTTTTTAACTGAGATCAGTGACCAGGAGGGGGAGTCCACCTTAGTTCAAGAGGAACCAAATCCTCTGCAGATAAAACTGGAAAAAGATGAAAGAGAACATCAACAACTCTGCATCAGTAACAATGAAGAGTACCTTGTTCTGAAACGGGAGACCGATGAAATTCTTGTAATCCCTTCTAATGTGCTACAAAACCCCACTGAAACTGAATCGAACAGTAACAGAGTAATTTCTCTGGCCTCCCTTAAAGTCGAAAACCAAGATCAGGAAGGAAGCAGTTCCAAGGATCTCAGCAAAACTACAGATGAAGAGCAGAAACCAGATGAGAGATGCCTTAAAACCAGCGAACAGAAAGACATTGCTGACAGCATAAAAGGAGAAACACAACTGAAAACTCCCACAGACCAAAATATACAAACTGGTCAAATTTGTGATAAAATTACATCTCAAAACAGTCACTCAAAGACACACTTGATTACTGTTGCAGCTGAAAAGCCTTTCTTATGTACAACCTGTGGAAAGAGTTATAGTAGAGAGTCTTTTTTAAAGCGTCATGTTAAAATTCACTCTGATGAGAAGCCTTTCACGTGTACGACCTGTGGAAAAGGTTACCGTGCAAGAAGTAGTTTGGCTTATCACATGAAAACTCACACAGGTGAGAAGCGTTTCTCATGCATGACATGTGGAAACAGCTTCATTAATAAAGCTGATTTGAAATGTCACATGAGAACTCACACAGGTGAGAGACCTTTCTCATGTATTTTTTGTGGAAAACGTTTCAGTCGTAAAACCACTTTAGTAATTCACATGAGATCTCACACAGGTGAGAAGCCTTTCTCATGTACAAAATGCGGAAAGAGATACAGTGAAAGAAGTACTTTAAGTTATCACATGAGAACTCACACGGGCGAGAGGCCCTACTCGTGTTTTAAGTGTGCAAAAAGTTTTGGCCATAAAAAAGTTTTGAGACGTCACATGAGAACTCACACAGGTGAGAGGCCTTACACGTGTGTTATCTGTGAAAAACGTTTTAGTGATAAAAGCTTTTTAACTAGTCACACAAGAATTCACACAGGTGAGGAGCCATACACATGTGAACTGTGTGGAAAGAGATACAGTGAGAGAAAAGTTTTAGCTCATCACATGCAAACTCACACTGGGGAGAAATCTTTCACATGTTTTAAGTGTGCAAAACGTTTTGGTAATAAACATGTTCTGAGACGTCACATGAGAACTCACACAGGTGAGAAGCCTTTCTCATGCATTACCTGTGCAAAAAGATTCAGTCAAAAAAGCGTTTTAACTCGTCACATGAGAATTCACACAGGTGAGAAGCCATACTCATGTAAAACCTGTGGAAAGGGGTTTGTTAACAGAAGTGATTTAAATTATCACCTGACAACTCACCCTGGCGAGAAAACTCACACTGGCGGGAGGCTTTTTTCCTGTGTGATCTGTGAAAAAGCTTTCTTTAAAAGACATTTATTAACGCGTCATATGCGAACTCACACAGGAGAGAAGCCATTCTCATGTGAAACCTGTGGGAAAAAATTCTGTCAAAAGGGTAATTTAATAACTCACATGAGAACACATACAGGTGAGAGGCCTTACCAATGTAAACTCTGTGAAAAACGGTTCGGCAGTGGAGCCAGTTTAGCTGCTCATATGAAAACCCACAGGGGTGAAAAACTTTAGTCATGTACAACCCGTGAAAAAAGAATTACAAGAGGAAGCGGCTTATCTTATCACATGAAAACTCATACATATGAAAATCCCATTTGTCAAGTATGACTTATAGTATGATATACTGATAGTATAATATCGTTTAACTTTAAGTAGTCTAGGGCGTGCAGGTGGAGCAGTAGTTAGTGTGCATGACCCATGCACGGAAGCCTTTGAAAAACGTGTTAATCCGGTAAATACTAAATCCAATACTGCTAACAATTGGAATTTGGCTCCCTTCCTCTTGACAAAAAAAGGTGGGTCTAACACCTATCTGGAAAGCTGCATGGCATGTATCCTCCCACTGCTGTGTTTCTGGTTACACCATGAGTGTAACCAGAGTTGGGTTAGTGTTGATGCTGTCACCTGTGCAACAAAAATAAGGAGCGTAAAAAATGTAGATCAACATGCAAGGAAGCCAGGGCGTAGTAATTGTGCTTTATTGATTAACTTTCTTATCCCTTTGACTTGGGTCGCTTGCCGAGTTTATTTGAAATATTCTTTAATAAGTGTCTTAAGTACAATGTTTTTTTTTTACATGTAAGATTCATTAATAGTGTGTCTTAATGTGTCTTCTTACCTCTTAAACATATTTTGATGTGTAATTGTAGTCTATAAAAGTCCAGAAAAGTTTAATTTGGTCTCTATTGTTTATCCTAATATGTTATTGGGATTGTAACTTTCCATCCATTCTATTTACTCTGTATTTAATTTACTGTTTAATAAGAGTGTTTGCTGTGGAACTGATAAATAAGATCATGAATTAATGGCTTAAAACCTATAGACTCTGGCATTTTTTGTTTTCACAGAATGTATGTATATTATGTTGAAAGATGCTGAAAAAAAAAGCTGATCAATATAAATATTTGAGTTGTTACTCAATCTCACATCATTGTATCTTTTGGTCTGGTTACATTTATTTATTTTATTTGAAATACAAACTGTACATACAAGTACATACAAAGGTACAGAAATTCCTCTTTGTTTGCAATAAGCACTTCAGGGGACGAGTGCTTCAGCAGCCTTGACCAGTATGAACTATTAGCTGAAAGACTTTGTCTTTCTTAGGGTTCAGTTCTTTCTGACGCAGCAAAGCAATAAGCTGCAGAAAACACCAAAATGACAAGCTTTATCATAGATGCGTTGAGGTAACTTACTAGCTGGTCTATAAAAGATGTGTTCAGAATCAAGAATCTGTTTCACTATGGACCCAAAATTATTTTCTTCGTTATTCTGCTGAGAACGATCTTTTAAATTGACAAAACGTAAAAAAAAACTTTGAAGAGGAATGAGCATACTTAACTCTTTTGGAAGTCTGTGTTCGGTCATATTGTGTTTGTTTTTTAAGGTCATTTGTGTTAAAGTATTGTAAGTAACATGAATTCCAGGATTACAGTTTATGTTACTACTCTGGGTTTCATTTAGCTTAGAAAGGTAAAACACACTGACATTTCAGATTATATTATTTTGACTGTTGTTGACATGAAACAAACAAGTTTCTGCAGCGCTAGATTATGCTATCAAACTACAAATATGGCCAAAAAAGGGTCTGAAGGGTCTCGTATACATATATGTATGCATGCATATATATATGTATATATACATATATATATGCATATATATATGTGTATATATATATATATATATGTATATGTATAAAAATCTATATGTATATATAAATATATATATATGTATATGTGAGTCATATGTTTGACTTGGAGCTGAATGAGTTTTGTTAATGAATTCACATTTTGAACGGAATGTGTGGTAAATTTATTCCATGCATGTGCAGTGCAGAATTGTCTATTTGACCATGATTTCAGCTCCATTCACTCTTTCATTTGTGTTTCTAACACACAGCTAGTAGAACATGTGTTCATAAACAACATATGACAGTCCAAATAACATCTGATCAAATAAGATATTTACCATCCTTACTGGGGTGGGCAATAACCATCTTAGAGTGTTACAACAAGACATACAGCACTTGCTTTTTTATCTCTACATTTAATTTTGATATAAGCAGGGTAGAATATCGCACGGTATCATGGTATTGTAATATCATTATAATATTGTATCATCACCCAAGTATCACAATGAATATCATATCACTACACCTATGCCAATACTCACCCCCATTTTTAAATACATTTTGAAAATATAAACCTCAGTATAAATTTTCTGTTAGTCTGACACTCTCATCTTAAATATTGTGTTTCTTTTAGCCATTGGTGGAAAATTTGCAATAATTATCAGAAATATGTTTGAAAATTTGTGCATATTCAGTAATTCAGTTGAGTTACTTTTAATAACCTTCAAATAATATGCCTATTAGAATGTATTTGATACTATGAGGAAGTGTAATAAAGTAGAGAATAGAAAATTCCAAGCGGAACAAAAGTTAGTTTACAGTTTCTTCCGTGCACATGCAGCGAAACACACGGGATCATTAGCTTTCCTGTTAGAAAGTAGTTCCAAGAAGGTTCTGGTTTCTAGGATTATATATGTGATCGTTCGGAGTAAACATGTTATCTGATCAGCTCCAGATAGAGATCAGCAACGAGCAGTTAGCTCCTGCCGAAGAAAAATGTACTGAGGTTAAAGAAATGATCGTCAAGTCCGAAAAGGAGGTGAATGGTCAATGCAGACTGATGGTGGATTTTAGCCCGACTCCTTCGATCATCTTCGACCAAAAAGGTATGAAACACCCTCAGTCCTGAAGGCTTAGTGAATAGAAAGGTTAAGTAAAGTTAGGTGCGATGCAGAACTCGGGGTCTGATTTAAAAGGCTGTTAAATCAAACATTGTCTTTAAAGAAACATGTAAGTTTTAACTAAAAATGTGTTAAAAAGAGCAGCCTTTTTATTAAACTTTTTCTGACTAGAATATTGTTTGAAGAGCAGACTGACACATCAGTACTTCAGCTCCGGTGCCTCTATAAGCTTGTTGCCTATTTTCGGGCCTTTCTTAATCGGTTACAACCACTGATATCTATATATTCACCGGATATCCGATAGGAAAAAACTGATGTCACCTGCCGCCATCTTGGTACTCCCCACTCTTAGGGAATCGTGCCATAAACATGCCGATGTGTAGCATTTGGCTGCAAAAACAAGCAGTTTCCTGCTGTGGGATTACTTTTCACAGGTTATTATATATATATATATATATATATATATATATATATATATATATATATATATATATGGCATTTACAGACATGCACTTGTAATTCAGTCTTGATGTAAAATCTTTCAATTATATTATAATATCTAATTACCATGGCAATTTAATCGATACATGTATATTACATGTACTTTATCATTTTAGCACAACTATCATCAGATGGGGTGTGTTAGTGTGTATATGTGTAATATCTAAGTAGTACAGTATTATTATGCTCCCTTAACACACCAATTTTGTTGTGATGGATTTGTATAATATGTTATATTACATGATTTATAGACCTAATGGACTTCATACTGAATATGCAATGGGATGTGCCTATCCATTACCATGAATTACAGTAATCCTGATGCCACGAACCAAGAAGTGTGTGTCAAAGTGATAAATTTATTTTTATTTTAAAAGTAAGCCACCCTGAAAATGATAAAATTGTGGTTGTCCGGTGCTGTAGCGCAAGTATTGTTAACATTCTTACTGGTTTAACTAAAAAAAAATAAAAAAATATATATTGCTGTGAAGTCATGTATATATATATATATATATATATATATATATATATATATATATATATATATATATATATATATATATATATATATATATATATATATATATTTATTTATGTAGTACCAACGGCCAAGCCAATAATTACATAGACCCTATGTCATCGAGTAAGGGCCGTGCTGAGATAGCAGTAAGGGCAGACAGATCAAACCAAGCTGCCAATATATACACAGACAATTATACATTAAATGAGGCCAACCCTACTTTATGACCCCATACTCTCTGAATCTGGTGAACTTTTAACAGATTTCCAGATCAGTTGGCTTACTGAAAACGAGAATGTTTCACGGGTTACATTGGACCAACTAATTGATCTTATTTTCTTATTTTAAGCATAATTTTTATTTTGTATTGACAGTTAGGAAACTTCCAGAGTTTCCTCTCAGGATGGCTGATTTTTATTCCGACTATGGGTGAGGAAATAAAAGGAGACTAAAAACTAGGTCCTGTTGAATTCCCTCTCATAAGTAGGATTTTATGACAGATTATCCTCGTGTATGGATAGATGCTAATGGATAACAGGGATTTAAGCAGAGAAAAGTAAACACTCTGATTTACAAAAGGTGTGAATGAATGTGTATATATATGTAATTCTGTAATCATGGTGAAGGATGTGTTCTTTAGCTACAATAAAATCTATTTTTTTGTCTTTTTTGTCCAGAACTGCCACAATATTATGTGTTTAAAGAGGAAAAGGATGCCACTGAGCTCAGCCTCCAGGAGGAGAAATCCACCATAGTTAAACAGGAACCAGAACCTCTGGAGATAAAACAAGAGCAAGAAGAACTAGACCATCTACAGATCAAGGAGGAAGAGGAGCAACTCTGCATCAGTCAGGATGAAGAGAAGTTTGTGTTGAAAGAAGAGACTGATAGCACTTTGGTCATTTCTAATGTGAAAAGTTATTATGAAACAGAACCAAACAGGAGCCAGCTCATCTGTCAGGATTCCCCTGATGTTGAGAACCAGGATCAGGAACATGGCAACTCTGAAGACCAAGAAAAAATCAGACATGAAGAGAAGAAAAAAGAGAAGAGATGCAAGAAAACCAGACAGCAGAAAGGCACTGCTGACAGTTTGGAGGAAAAAACACACAACAAAGCTAACCCAGACAAAAAGAAATATTTTTATGAAATGTTTGATGAGATATTTTCCAAAAGCAATCACCTGAATACCAACATGAGAACTCACTCATATGAGGGACCTTTTCCATGTACAACCTGTGGTAAGAATTACAGTGAAAGAATTAGTTTAATCGATCATATGAGAGTGCACACATGTAAGAAACCTTTCAAATGTGACAAATGTGAAAAACGCTTCATTAGTAAAAGCAATTTATCACGTCATATAAGAACTCACACAGGCGAGAGGCCTCTTTTTTCTTGTACAATGTGTGGAAAGGCATACACTGAAAGAAGTGGCTTGGCTTATCACATCAAAATGCACACAGTTGGAAAACCTTTCAAATGTGATTATTGTAACAAGAATTTTAGTCGTAAAAGCAATTTAGCACGTCATATAAGAACTCACACAGGCGAGAGACCTTTTTCATGTACAATGTGTGAAAAAGCATACACTGAGAGAAGTGGTTTAACTTATCACATGATAACTCACAAAGGTGAGAAGCCTTTCACGTGTGCTACTTGTGAAAAAAGGTTCAGTCATAAAAGACTTTTAGAAGTTCACATGAGAACTCACACAGGTGAGAAGCCTTAGGTTGCATTACCTGTAGAAAAGGTTTCTGTTGTAAAAGCCTATTTATTGATCGTATGAGAAGTCACATGAGAAAAGCATTTTTCATGTATGTCCTGTGATAGAAGTTTTATAAAAAGATTTTTCTTGAACGTTTTTGTGTTTCTTGTGGGTTTTTTTAATTTCAGTTTTACTCGCTAAACTTTATTACCTTTCTTAGTAGCATCTCAAGTTGATGATCTTCTGAAGATTACATTAAAAGATGAACCATATTTTAAAGGTTTAATTTTCACATTTAAAAGGGATTATATTTTGAAGGGATATACATTCATTTGTCTTAATTAAAATGAGCATTGATATTTTTCATTTATAAAGTACCTTAAGAAAACTACACATTGAAATAATTACAGATTTAGACAAAAGTGGCTCTTAGTTTATGTTTTGTTGTACTATAGTTTGTTTTATGTTCAAACAATTGATTTTATTGCTTAGTGAATACATGTTAGAGATTGATTTTCTGGTAGGTTATAAAGGAATTGACCATTTGTGATGAATAAAGTTTTCCAAATTTGAATAGAACTATCACACATTATTTCTTTGGAGTAAATACTGCTAATGGTATAATGGCACCAAATTGGACACATGATACATGGAATGTATCTTTTTGTTTCAATATTTTCATCTATGCTTTGGTTAAAGCCTCTTGGAATTGCAACATTTTTACCTCAAAGGCTTGGCTCTCAAATCAATAGAACTATATCATGTTCAACATAGAGAAGCCTTTAATGCAAGGCTTACAAACTATTTAAACCTGGAAACCATTACCTTTTATAGGCAGTGGGAACAGCTCAATGACCTATGTGGACTGGGGTCAACTTGGCAAGTGACCTGGGTTAAAAATGCCTTCCAACAGCTCTTCTCCGATTGGTTTACAAAGGGAGCAGCAGACCTGGGTCTCCTGTGCATTAACGTGATACCAATGAGCCAAACTGACATAGATCACAATATTGACCCGGTTGCATGTGCTCTAACAAGCCAAAACAACTCTGCTTGCATTCAGTAAACGTGGCACAGCACTGGTAGGAGGAATTTGGATGGACAAAAGCGCCAAACAAAAGCTCTTTCTATGCCATGGCGTTGTTCCAATTCTTTACTTTCCTGATTTCTGTTGCACAGGTGACATCATCAGCACTAACCCAGTATGATAGCTTCACCAGACATGCAGCTGTTTGGGGACAGAGGCTACACAACTTATCAGCGGGGAGTCAGATTCCGCTTTTTGTGCCATTGGAAAGGGAGCCTAATGCCGATTGTTAGCGGGTCGATCCGTGTTTAAAGAACCCACCTTAACCCACTAATTTCAGTGGGAAAGAGACTAAACACACTAGATTGAAAATAGTCAAATTCTAAAAGACAAATTCTAACAACATTTGTAGTAAACAGGCATAAGAAATGAGAAAACAAGATTAAGAAAAAAATAGAGAACATTATTAAAGGGGGATATGATAGTGGCAAATGGCGAAGCTGTGACACTAAGGAGAACTAATATGCTACTTTAGTGTACAATATAAGCTTGGGGGGGCTTTTTGGTAAAGTGAGGGATTTAGGACCAGTATGGTACTTCACTGGATTACTTGGTACAGGAAGTAATATCATGCAATGAGGAATAAAGACACCAAGAGGGAACCTCTCTTTTTCTTTTTTTTTTTTTTTTTTTTTTTTTTGCAAGACACTAAGAGGAAAAAAGCCTGAGACCTGATGTTACTCACCTTTTTAACAACAGGGGGCGGTATGCACCGAACTATTGTTTGCGATCCACCATAATTCAGAACAGGAAACACAAGGAGGAGGAGGAGAAGAAGAAGAGCAGGAACCGTTAGCTTTTGTTCATTTAATAGAAGACTGCACACGGTTCTGGTTTTTGGAACATTTGAACATTTGATAGTAAAATGTCTTCGGTTGAGCCTCATAGAGAAATGATCAACGAGCCTTTGACTCCAGATGAGGAAACATCATCTGATTTTAAAGAAGTTATAAAATCCGAGGAGGAGGTCATTGGCCATAGCAGACTGCTGGATTTTAGCCGCCGGACACCCCTGGTCATTTTACAGCGATTAGGTATGAAACACCAGCGGTACGCATGTTAATATGACAAGATATAATAAAAACATACAATAAAAAAAATGGGGAGAATGGATACAAAAATATAAACAAATAAATAATTAGAAGAGAGCTAAAGCATTGTTTGGCTTTTCAAGTTTGCAGAATTTTTAACGTAATGATTCAAATTAAATAATATTTTAGAGGAATAATACTTATTCTTCATATTAGAAAAAAAATCCTCCTAACTATACGTTTCTATATAGTTATAAATGGGTAATTAATCAGAGTAGTCATTCATAAATCTACCCTAGTCTGTTAGTAGGGATGTGTGAAATGGCTAAAACATGTATTATGAAACCCTTGATATAAATAATTATAGATTTATTTTTGTCCCTATTTGACACACACACACACACACACACACACACACACACACACACACACACACACACACACACACACACACACACACACACACACACACATCCCTCCACCAGAATGCTGTGTGTTTTTGTTTTAGTCCAGAAAAATGATGGATCTTTCAATTAGACATATTCTCTGTTGATATTGAACAGGTGCCTATTGTGACCTATATTAATATTGTCTTTGTTGCCCAGCAATATCTTTAAGTCTTAAGCTTAGTTCACCAAATTTGGTTTATTTTGTTGTCAATTGGGTTTCATAAAGCTGGTTTTCTCTGAGATGAACTCAGTTACTGTAGCAATTGACTCAATAAACTTACCCTGTTTATAACCAGGCTTAGGGCTGACTAAATTCAAACAATGTGTGTTCTTTATTGATACATCAACAGTGAGCACTGTTAATGACGGAAAGGTTATACTGCAAAAACGATCTAGTAATAAGTCAGCATTTCTTAGATTAAGTGTATTTACCCTTAATCTGAGTATTTCTACTCTTAAAATAAGATAACTGGATAATATCCACTTGAAATAAGGCAATTAATTATTTTTTCTTATTTTAAATGTAAATTGTTTTGTTCCATTGGCAAAGTGTCTCACTTACCTCCTCAATAAAAAAAAAATCACTTATTTTAAGAAAAAATGACGTAAATGTATTGAAATGTGCTGGATAGGGCTGCAAATAACCACTATTCTGCTCAATCATTAATCTGTTGATTGTATTTCTTCTTTCTTTCAGCTAAAAACTTGTTTTAGAGTATCTATTCTCAAGTTAATGATTAATCAATTACTAAATTAATTAATGATTATTTTAATAATCGATTAACCATTAGTTAGCTCCATCATTTGCCCAAATGCAAGGTGCCATTAAAAAGTGGCAACAAATTATTAGCCACATATCATGCAATTAATTTGATACAATCCCACATAAACATTATAATTTGTTTTGAACTCAAGCAATTGTTAATAATTCTGAAATGTATAAATCTTTCCTATATAATATCTGATATTTTCGTGAAAGTAACTTAACGGTAGTCTGTTAAAGGCATCCATACACAGATTTATGGCTGCGGATGAAGTAGCTGCAATTTTAAGGAGAACTCTCAGTGTTTGCATGATGCCATACCATCAGCGCAGTTTCAAAGCACCACACTAAGTCCAAATAAAAAGAAAACATTAGCAATTGATTGCAAATAGAAGAAGCAGAAATGCTTGGGCTTCAAGTGTGACTACGTATGATATAAGCTTTTGCTTTCTTTTCCCCAGATCTTTCACAATATTGTGTGTATAAGGATGAGGAGGAGGATCCCCTTGGGTTCAGCCACCAAACAGAGAACTCCATTAAATTTAAAGAAGAACCAGAACCTCTGCAGATAAAACAAGAACAAGAGGAAGTAGAATATCGACAGATCAAACAGGAAGACAACCAACTCTGCATCAGTCAGGATGAAGAGCAATTTTTGCTGAAAGAGGAGACAGAAAACATTTTAATCATTTCTAATGTGAAAAGTAATTACAATGAAACAGAACCAAAGAGGAACCAGCTCATCTGTCAGGCGTCTTCGGACGTCGGGAACCAGGATCAGGAGGGAAGGAATTCTGAAGACCAAGAAAAAATAAGAAATGAAGCGAAGAAAAAAGATCAGAGATGCCAGAAAACAGGACAGCAGAAAGGTACTAATGACAGCTCAAAACAAAAAACACTGAAGGAAACTAACCCAGATAATGGTTCCCTTTCTCAAAACACTGATTTCTCTCAAGAATTGACAACTCACACAGGGAAGAAGCATTTCACATGTAAAACCTGTGGAAAAAGTTACAGTCACAAACGTGGTTTAATTAATCACATCAGAACTCACTCAGGCGATAAACCTTTCGCATGCCCTTTTTGTGGTAAAAGTTTCTACCAGAAATGCCTTTTAAAGATTCACATGAGAGCCCACTTAGGCGAGAAACCTTTTCTCTGTGCAACATGCGGAATAAGTTTTTGTCATAAGCGTACTTTAGTTTATCACATGAGAACTCACACAGGTGAGAAGCCTTTCAAGTGTATTACTTGTGGAAAAAGTTTCAGTCGTAAAAGCCATTTAACAAACCACATGATAACTCACATGGTCGAGAAGCCTTTCACATGTTCAACCTGTGGAAAGGGTTATAACGAAAAAAGTAGCTTAATCTATCATATGAGAATCCACACAGGCGAGAGGCCTTTCACATGTAGTATTTGTGAAAAAAGTTACCGCCATAAAGGCAGTTTAAGGCAGCATGTGAGAGCTCACACAGGTGAGAAGCCTTTTGCGTGTACAACTTGTGAAAAAAGCTTTGTTTGTAAAAGCCTTTTATCAAGTCACATGAGAATCCATACAGGGGAGAAGCCTTTTTCATGTGTGACCTGCGGAAGAAAGTTTACCCATAGAAGCAGTTTTGCTGTTCACATGAAAACTCACAAAGATGAGATGGCGTAGTGTGCTCCTTTCTTACTGAAAGTACTGGCATTAAAGTACCTGGATATTTATTTTACCCAAGTGAAAGTTGTGTGCTTTTTTTGTGTAAATACTCCTAAAGGCCGCAGAGTGCTTATATAATGCAGACTAATGATATGTAAGAAGGTTATTAAGAATACTTAACTGTACAATACTGAATTCTGGAAATGTTATCAAATTCAGTTCTTTCCCATTTTAATGTAGTTACATTCTTAAGATCATGATCATATTTTTAGTCCAGAACTGTATCTGGGGAAGTGTTAGCACAATATTCAAGCCATTATGTGGAAGAGCTGAGGTCCAATTAAGTCAGTCAAGTAAATTAGCCCTTCTATAGAAAAATCTGTAATGTTCATATTTATCATGGAATACCAAAGGGTTAAAACAAGGTGTGTGCATATTCTGATGATTTGTATATAAATATATATATATTATATAATATAAATTCTTCTTGTCATATCTAGCTTATTTTGTTGCCATTTTTTGATGGCCCCATTTGTACCAGATGATGGCGCTAATAACCTGTCTATTACCTAATGTGCCCCTGGTGCTGGATGAAAAAAATACACAGTTTGACTCATTATGAATACCTTAAATTGTTAAGGACACTTAAGCAATAGTGGAAGTGCCTCAGTGGTTGCCATAAGTGCAATCCGAGTAAAGTTGGTAGTTATGTAAGGACTAGGACTAGTTTACATAGGGACTTCAAGATGTACCTAGAAGCTATATGGTTTCCAATCTTTTGAGTGAAAGTAGGTATAAGCACAGCCCATCTCACAGAGTATAACGAAAATATGTTGTTCCTTTGTATGTTCTGTATGATACATAAGAATTTCCTCACCTTCATATGGTTTTGGTTCTATGATGAAGGACTTTAGCTATGAGCTACATTTGTCTAACTTTTTTTTGTAGTTCTTTCCAGAAGGCTGTAGTTCCAATTTGACCAGTGTCATTCATGCCTGTATTGTACGGTAACCGTATTTGAAAGCTGAAGAATGTCTGGATTCAATACAGCAGTCTGAAGCTCCTTTCCTACCTTGAATAGTCTTCTTACTGTTGATCTCGCAAAAGGTGAAGGGATAGGACCTAGGAAAAGGATATAGGAGCTATAATTTGAGGTAAATGGATCAAGCCATACTCAGCTTTAAACCTGTTCCAAACAAAGCTAAGTTAACTGGCTCATTTGCCATAGCAACCAACTCAGGCTCTGTCTGCTTTATGAGACTGTAATGACAAAAATAAGCCAGACTTGAATAACTAAGTCTGGCTTAGAAACGAAGCTAGCTTTATGAAAGACCACTCTGAAAAGTTTTTGTCTGAATATTTCCATTGATTTCTTTTCCAATCTTTTATAAATTTTAATGTTTAATCCAAATGTGTATTTTCCAGTCTCTACAGACTTGTTGTATAGTGGAAAATGACTAAATACAAGTTCTAAGTACACCTGTATCCATAAAAAACGTACACAGAAGTCCGTTTGCCATTGTGGTCTTTTTCTGTTAGTTTACCATCTGATTGTGAATTTCTCAAAAGGTTTATAAAAACCTTCTACTTTAGTATTTTTTTATCACCTTTAATAATTTGTGATTTCTCTTTTTATTGCTGCCTTCGTTGACTGAAATAATTTCGGTGAGAAACATTTTGCAACCATCTATCAATCTCTAACATAACTAGAGAAATTTTTCTCCTCTCTTTACCTAAAGCTGTGAAATGTTTTTGGTTGGTTGTTTTCAGAATCTCATACAGTTCTAAATATTAGTTTTATTTACATTTACATTTCTTAGTTTAAATTTATATTTACTCATATATTTTATACACTTTATTGAAGAGGTTTCTGCTTCGTGGAGCTGTGTCCATTAGCCGAATTCTTCCCTGAGTATGACTTCATATTTTAATTTAATTCTTAAATTCTATCACATACCTCAGGCTGCAGTTTGTAGACAAGAGGAAAGGAGATAATTTTAAAGAACTTCCAATAAAGTTTAAGAAAATAACAAGAAGATTTAGATTTAAGCATACTTGGTTAAGTAATACAAAATAAAAAAAAAACACAAAGAAAAATATTTGCAAGCTGCTAATAAACAGGCGAAGAAGAAAAACAAGATTTATTTTAGATGTACAGCCTATGAAGAAAGTATCAGAATTCAAATACCAGAGTTTGTCATTGGGTATCAAATCCACACGAAGAGGCAATCCTTCATGTAGAAACCTGTTGAAATGAGTGTTTCTTACAGACCTGGTTAAATAAAACTAAAAACAACAACCATGGCAAAAACCTCCCACAGTTGACTAGATTTGCCATGGCTACTTTTGCTTTATTCACAATTAAAAAGAAAACCAAACATAAAGGAAAATAAACCCATGTAATCTCATTGTAACAACACAGATATCCTGTTGTGTTTTGGTCATGGTATAAACAACAGTTATCTTCCAGCTGGCTTGGAGCTCATCTGCCTGGCTGTGTGTTTCCTGGATGGGGCCGCCTGTGGAGCTGGTTGACAGTTGCCTTTTGTATCTCTGCTTCTTTCTGTATGTCTGCTTCCGTCTCCTTGATCCCCAGTCGGACTCAGCAGATGGCCGCCCACACTGAGCCTGGTTCTGCTGGAAGTTTCTTCCTGTTAAAAGGGAGTTTTCCATCTGCATTGTTGCTACAAGCATGCTTAGTGTGAGGAATTGCTGTAAAGTCAATGAGTCGCAATCAGCTGGTTTTCCTTAGAAAACATCTTAACCAATCCGACTGGATGATCTGGTTGAATTGTCTCTGTAAAGTTCCTTCAGATGATGTGCTGTGAATTGGTATTATATAAATTAACTTAATTGAATTTAATTATCTGCATTAATTATGAATCTCTTCTCAATTAAATTCTTTGAACGATAAAAATCTGGGTTCTCACCAGTGTTTTGAATACATTTAGCTGCTTATTTTATTTATGAGAAGCATGTCTGTTGGAGGGCTTTAAGTCAGCGCTATGAAAATTGTAAATTTTTGGGTCCAGCATAATTGTTTTTCTGTCATATGTTAATTTACAAATCTTATTCTTTAATATAAATAGTCTGATTTAACTGTACAACAGGGCTGTTGCTGTGCCACTATTAACCTGACTGTGACCTTAGCACAATAATGTGTGCAAAACGCAAGCAAATAAAAATGCAAATAATTCAATTAAAACAAATACCAGAAAAAAACTAAAATAGAATTTTTCTTTTACTGTTCTATACAAAAATGTCTTGAACATGTCTGTATTTATTGAAACTAAATAAGGATGCACTAGGTTAAATGTCTAAACTGATTATATTTACTAAGAAACACTCTGTGTGTGTGCTGTTAAGCAGGGTGTGACAAAACTGAAGAGACACAGCTGACAGTCTGATTTGCTCCAAAGTTTGTCCTCAACTCCAACCGCACTGCGATTAGCAAACGGCAGGGGGTCCTGATCAGGTGGACCAACAGAACTGTTTTCCATTGATTGTTGATTAACAGGCTGTTTTCTGAACTGCAATAATCAGAATCAGCTATTTTAAGCCAAGAAACATTGAAAACCTGCTGGACAGTGACCCCTGAGTACTGACATTGGGCATGTCTGCTGTAGAGCCTTCATGATGTGGGACTTAATGTCTATAGTCACTGAGGACTGTTAGCTGAGTTTTCTATGCTACTGGAACAAGGCAGGAGGTCTTCCACATCAGTGGATCAGGCTAAAGTTGAAGAGGTGCTGTAGAATCTCACAGAGTTGCTCTGCACAGGCCTCTGGGGCGGACACCACCAGGACCTTGTGACTTATTGCGGGTTATTCTCCTCTTTATCTGTCTTCTAGAGACAGACAGGTGAAAGGAGGAGAGAGCGGCACCACAGTCTGCTTTGGCTGAGAACAAAGGCATAGAAGCAGGAGGGTATGTGCCAAGGGGAATGAAACATTTGAAGTTTGAGAGGGAACCTTTTGGTCAAAAAGAGTGCAGGGGAGAAGGGTGCTGAGCTTGCTCCTGAACTGAACCTATTAAAGGATCATTCATCGTCTTCCTCCCTGATCACCAAGGGCATTGCTTTGAGTCTCCCTTTGGAAAAGTTGAGCTGTCTGCCTTTTTCTTTACCAGGTTTATTATTTGTTGTAGTAAAAATAAATTTAAAGGTGCGCAGTTTGCTATATGCCTGTAAAAAAAAAAATGTAAAAGTATTTTAACATAAGATAATGTTTTGTATACTCAATGTCTGTCCTGATGGTGTTTTGATTGTCCTTTTTTACCTAAAAAGAACTCCAGCAGATTTAAACAGGCATATGGCAAGCATGCATTTCTCCTCTGAGCATTAGACTATTTAATACATTCATCATTACATTAGGATTTCTCTGTAGAAAAATGTTTGATATTTATGTCATTTCATAATATGACATAGAACCTCTTCCTAGACCTTTATTGAACTCATCTTTTATTACATTTATTATTAACTGAATAGATACAATTCCTGTTGTTAGATGAATTTATTTGGTTTATTTGTTAAATTTCTCTGCCATTATCCAGAGAAATATACCATTTGCTAGCTAAGGAAAACCTTCTGATTAATTACTGTGATTTAATTTTATTTGCTCTACAGGTTTGAAACAGCCTGGTGTTTCTTAAAAAGCCTAGGTGTCAATGTTGAGGATCCACACAAATTAAAGAGAAGATTGAAGTTTAGCTTTGCGCTTTTGTGTTTTCCCAGTTTGTTGAGCAACACTTCTTTTTCTACATGTAGAACTGGAAGACTATTGGGAGGTTTTCAGGTGTGCTACTGAGCTCAGCGTGCAGTGAGACTGCAGTGCAGTGTTTAAATCCCAAAAACATGCCCAAAACATAAGTGGGACGCACTTAACTTTCATAAACTCAGTTCCCCCAGCTGCGCTTTTGCTCCTGAGCTGATCCCTCCTTATTCAAATTCAGCTGTACGCTTTTTCGGCTCCATCTCTTTGTTCACAACCTGCTTAACTGTATATAAATAAACTGCATGACCATCCAGTCATAGACAGGTGTTTTTCATTAATTCATACTCCTTACATATATATTCGGATGGATAAAAACAATCAGTCACAGCCAATAACTTCCCCTACAGCGGCAGAGATTACAAAACAAAATGATAGAATTTAAGAAAAAACATCAGTCTAATAAAATAAACAATAAATGTTATGTATTTAACATGGTGGTTTGATATTTATATGCTACACATCCGTCTCACTGTACACTCTGATCGGTGGCATAAAATATAAACCCTATTGGACCGGCTGCAGCAATAAGGCATATTGTGATTATTTAATGCATGTGTTAAGTACTTTCTTTTTTTAACTGAAGTAAAGAAACAGATATTAAAAAAAACTGAATCTGAACTCTGTGCACTTTCTATCATTACTGGGTCATTTAACTTTAGCTAGAGCTGAGATGAAAGTCCATATGCTCTCTGTCCCCGATCGTTATTCTAAAAATGATTTGATCAAACCTCCATATGATACGAGTGTATGTCTGTGTTAAGGTGACATGGAATATAAATGTCTAAATACCGAGGGAACAATTCCATTGACAGCGTTAAAAAAGAAACTGTCGTTAAATGTAGTTGTGTTGTTCTCTTAATGGATAATGGTGATGATAGGAAACAATATTACTTTTTAAGTTAAGTTTTGGTTATAATTATTATTTTGTTGTGTATAGGAGTTTCAAATTGCCAAAGTGAACTGTTCCCAGGAAGAGGCTCTTTTGACACAGATATAGAACCAGGATATAAAACAAAGGATGCTTTTATTTTGACCAGGCCCAAATATAAGATTGATTCAATTCAATTCAGTTTGTTTATATAGTGCCAAGTCAACAACACGTCATCTCAAGGCACTTTTGAGATTGGTTAGGAAAACCATTGCATTTTGTCGTTGACTCCTCTTCAATCCCTCACACCAAGGATGCATGTAGCGACAATGGAGAGGAAAATTCCCTGTTAACAGGAATACATTTCCAGCAGAACAAGGCTCAAAGTGAGTGGCCATCTGCCAAGGCCGACTGGGGTTCTAGGAGACAGAAGCAAACAAACATAAAGAAGGAGATATAAAAAAAACTGTCAACATGCTCCACAGGTGATCCCATCCAGGAAAGACAGCCAGACAGATGAGCTCTGAGCCATTTCTGCTAGTCACAGTAAAAGAAACAGGACTACACTGAAAACAGGCCATGCTCCAACATCTAGAAACAGATGTCGATGGCAGTGTTACAGCTGATGATTTAATCCAGGATGGAGTCACAGCTGAAAAGGAACAGACCAGATGAAGCTACTATGACAGGAAAAAGGAGAGAGAACATAAACCTATGAGTGAAATTTGACAGATGCTGCAGAGTGGGAGAATAGAGATAGAATGAAGCAGTATGAGGAAAAGTGGCCCCTATGTGATCCAACAGCCTATACATATAGAAGCACAAGTAGAGAAAATAGCTCGGGATAACCTAACTATTTTGAACAAGGTAAAGTAAAGGCAGAGCCACAGTAGGGCCAAGGTAGAGCAAGAAAAACGTCTGTGCAGACTGATCCCTGCAATAAGATGGAGCTTAGTCATTTAAGGCTCTATATGTGAAAAGGTGGATTTTAAATTATATTCTGGATTTAACAGGAAGCCAATGGAAGATAAGCTAGGATAAAAGATATATGATCTCTCTTTTTAATTTTCATCAGAACTCTGGCTGCAGCATTTTGGATCAGCTGAAGGCTTTTAACTACAGATTCTGAACTTCTAATAAATGTAAATAATTACAAGAGTCCAGCCTTGAAGTAACAAATGCATGGACTAGTTTCTCAGCATCACCCCATGACAGTATATTTCTAATGTTTGTAATATTTTGGAGATGAAAGAAGGAAATTCTAGAAACCTCTTTGATATGTAATTTAAATGACAAAAAAACCAAAACAACCAAGAACAGTTTAATCCCACCCGAATGAAGTAACTGACTAATCAGCTTATTTCTCAAAGACTCTGGTCCAAAGACAATAAGTAAAATTTTTTCTGCATTCAGATGCAGAAAGTTAAGAGTCACTCAAGTTTTTATCTTTTAGTCTTAAAGACATGCCGGTAGCCTATGTAATTCAATTTAGTTCAATTCAGTTTTTGTATCTAGTACCAATTCACAACATGTCATCTCAAGGCACTTTACAGGTACAAATCAACTAGAATATACAGTCAAATTGATTAAAAGTTTTCTGTCTAAGGATAACCAGTTGATTGCATCAACTAATCGACTCGAAGCAATCCCTCACACCAAGCATGCTTGTAGCATGTAGGAAAAACTCCCTTTTAACAGGAAAAAAACTGCAGCAGAACCAGGCTCAGTGTGAGCGAGGCTGACTAGGATTCAAGGAGACAATCAAGAGATTTGTTTCATCTGGATTCATATACTGATATAGATGAGTATCATCAGCAAAACTGTGGAAATTAATCCCATGCTGTTTAATAATTCTACAAATTGGGAGCATATATATATATATATATATATATATATATATACATATATATATATATATATATATATATATATATATATATATATATATATATATATATATATATATATATAGTAAAGAGAATTGGTTCTAGCACTGATCCCTGTGGTACTCCACAGGTAACCCTGGAGCTTGTTGAAGATTTATCATTGACATTAACTGAAATTTGTCAAATAAATCAGATTTAATCCAAAATAGTTAATTCCTACAAAATGTTCAAGTCTATCTAAAAGGATATCATGATGGACTACCAATACAGATTACAAATCTATGCACAGATATTTAGGGCGTGATCCCTCTTGATCTTTAAATACAGAATGTTTTCTAAGCATCCAGAAAGCACCTATATCTTGCAATATTTGATTCTTATAGCCTAGGGGTCTAGCTTTAAGGACAGTAAAGACACAAGCTTTCCATATTTGGGATCTAAGGATCCCAAATATGTGTTTTTGACTGGTTTGATAATTGTTCAGGCATTTATATATAGAATTTTTTTAGCACTCCCAGCATTACACTATGGTTCAGGAATATTAAATAAAAACTTGAGGCCTAAAGTATTATCAGAAGCCACATTAATCATGCCTTTTGTTATTTTTGTCTTGTATAAATACCAAACGATGCTATAAGCTTTTGTTTTCTTTTTATTTCCAGATCTCACACAATATTGTTTGTTTAAAGAGGAGGATCTCAACCAAGAGGGAACGTCCACTTTAGATCAAAAGCAAGAAGAACCTGAGCATTATCTGGTCAAAGAGGAGGAGAAGGACCTCAGCATCAGTCCAGATGAGGAACAGCTAGTGAAGAAACAGGAGACTGATAACATTTTGAGGATTTCTTCCAATGTTCAAAGAATCCACAATGGATCAGAACCAAACAAGAACCAACTCAACCACTGGGCCTCCCCTAAACTTAAGGACCAGGATAAAGAGGGATACAACTCTGAAAACCGAGGAAAAAAGGGAAATGAGAAGCAAGTCCAAGGTGATAGAAGCCAGAAAGCCAAACATCAGGACAGCACTGCTGAAAGTTCAACACACAAAACGCCCAACAAAGCTAACCAAGATAAAAAGACATATTCTTGTCAATCTTGTGGCAGGAATTTCTCTAAAAGCAGTCATCTGATTAGACACATGAGAACCCATACTGCTGAGAAGCCCTTCTCATGTGCCGCCTGTGGAAAGAGTTACGGCGATAAAAGCAGCCTAACTTATCACATGAGAACTCACACAGGTGAGAAACCCTTTTCATGTGTGACCTGTGGAAAAAGCTTTAGAAACAGATCCAATTTAAGAGTTCACATGAGAACCCACATGACTGAGCGGCCTTTCTCATGCGTCACCTGTGAAAAAAGCTTCACCAATAGAGGCAGTTTAACACGCCACATGAAAAGACACACAGAGACTAAGTATTTCTCTTGTGTGACCTGTGGAGAAAGTTTTTCGAAGAAAAGAAATTTAACTCTTCACATTAGAAGTCATCCAATTGGGAAACCTTTTGCTTGTGCTAGTTGTGACAAACGCTTCCACCATAAAAGCCTTTTAACACTTCACCTAAGAATACACACAGGCGAGAGGCCTTTTACATGTGGGACGTGTGGGAAAGGTTTTAGAAAAAGATCCACTTTAACAGTTCACATAAGAACTCACTCGACTGAAAGGCCCTTCTCATGCATGACATGTGAAAAAAGGTTCGCCAGTAAAGGCAGTTTAACACGTCACATGAGAAGCCATATAAAAGAGAAGCCTTTCTCTTGTGCAACCTGTGGAAAAGGTTTTTGTGAAAAAAGTAGTTTAACTCTTCACATCAGAAGTCATACAGGTGAAAAACCTTTCTCATGTGTTACTTGTGGACAACGTTTCAGTTACAAATGTCTCTGGACAATTCACATGAGATCTCATACAGGTGAGAAGCCTTTCTCATGCGCAACCTGTGGAAAGACTTACAGTGAAAGAAATAGCTTGAGTTATCATATGAGGACGCACACAGGTGAGAAGCCATTTACATGTAAAACTTGTAACAAAAGTTTCAGTCATAAAATTCTCTTAAATCACCACATGAAAGTCCATTCAGGTGAGAAGCCTTTTTCATGTACAATTTGTGGAAAGACCTACATTGAAAGAAATGGTTTAGCTTATCACATGAAAACTCACACAGGTGAGAAACCTTTCAAGTGTATTACATGTAAGAAAACCTTTAGTCAAAAAGGGGCTTTAGGAGAGCACATGAGAGTCCACACAGGTGAAAAACCTTTTACCTGTATTACTTGTAAAAAAACGTTTCGTCATAGAAGTGTTTTAAGGCGTCACATGAGGATTCACACAGGTGAGAAGCCTTTTACATGCACCACATGTGGAAGATGCTTCAGCAACAAAGAATTCTTAACAAATCACATGACCATTCACACAGGCGAGAAAGCTTTCTCATGCACAACCTGTGGAAAAAGATTCTCACGAAGAAGCACTTTAACAGAGCACATAAAGATTCATGGGAGCAGTAAGCTTTTCTCGTGTACAGCATGTGAAAAAAGATTCTTAATTAAAAGCAATTTAAAACGACACATGAAAACTCACACAGGCGAGAAGCCTTTCTCATGTTCTATCTGTGAAAAAAGGTTCCTAATTAGAAACGATTTAAAACGACACATGAGAACTCACTCAGAGGTTTCTACACCAGGCTGCTTTGAAAAGCATCCTGGAAAAAATATAATTTAACAATTTGCATGGGAACTCCCATGTAAGAAGGCATAATGTGAGCCTAACATATCAAGAGTCTTGTTAACTTGATGTATAAAAGGTGAAGTAGTTAAAGGAAGATAAGATCTTTAAAATTTTGCTCCTTGCTTAAAAAAGATTTCAAATTCTATGCTGGTGAAGATTTTCAGTCATTCTGGTCATCGTCATTCCAAAAAAGTAAAAAAAAAAAATAAAATCTGTGTGATCTGGGAACACATATGAACGTAACACCAGGCAGTGGTTGGTTGTTGTTATATCACAGAGATAATATAAATTTCAAATCTTATGTACTTGAAAAAAAAACAAGCTAAAAAAGGAATTTGCATTTTAATAATTGCTGTGAAAGTATGGAACAAACTAACTGTTGAATTAAACCAATGTCCAACAATCAAACAGCATACTGGGAAAAGGCTCCAACTTAGATAAGAAAGGTGCGGTTCAATGGGTAATCATATTCACTGGTCATAGGTGTATACATATATTTGCAATGGATGTGGTTTTGTCAGATATGGGTAATAAATGTATAAACGAAAATTAAAATGTGTCGTTTTGTGTGTATGTATGTATGTATGCTATTTATTGAATGCTTTCCTTTTTTTGAGAACACAAGACCACAACACACTGATATTTATAGATGTTACAGATGTGCCTTTCAGTGCATTACAAATATAGGTACCAAAATTATCAATGCATGAAAAAATAATTAATAACAGCCGATTCCAATGCCAAAAAGTGATAAATCATGCATCCCTAGAAGTACAATTTCAGTTCCATCCAGAAAAAAATGGATATGCTGCATATTTAATATAGCATAGCATATTTTTATATATATATATATATATATATAGAGAGAGAGAGATGCATAGATATATTTTATTGCATGCAGAGGTCTCAAGTACTTAAGTACACTTTTTAGGTATCTATACTTTACTCCATTACTTATTTTTCATCCTACTTCTGACTTCTAATTATTACATTTTCACACAAGTATCTGTACTTTCTATTCCTTACATTTTTAAAACAAACGTCACTCGTTACTCTTGGCTTCGGTTTAATGCAGAGGTCACGGATTAGTGGACCGCACCACTTCTCCTGTTACCCTGAAATCCCACATCCTCTGTCACCGATCCATCCTGCTGCACTCCAGACCTCCTGCGCAAAGCAAAGCCTACAGCCTCCGCTGTTCCTTCCGTATTGCTGTGCTCCGACTTCCTCAGAGCTCGAGGAGAGCATGCACGATATTATCATTAAATTTGTAGGAGCAAAACATGCAGAAATTAACGCTTAATTTAATATGACATAAAAAATTCCCCATCAGCATCCAGCATATTTGTGGTTTCTGATGGAGATGAGAAATCTGCTTCCTGGTCTGTTGAAGTACCAATAGTTTGCATCCAATATTTTAAATAAACAGTGTTAGTTTTTTTGAAATATATAAGAATTATGGTCTAATTTTTAGTTATGGATCTATTGTTACTATATATTAATTTTGGCAAACCAGATCTTCTCGCCGTTCTTTGTCCTGTTTGGTGCGATTGCAATAGCGGATCTTGACCTGGCCTGACTGGAGCGGAGTCTGAACATTTAGAGGATGTTTGGCTCAACCTGAACAGAATCAAAAATAAACACCTCATTTTATTTCAGTCTTAAATTCTGTTTAAAGTAACAGATCATTAAAAATGTCTCAAGACCTTTACTGATTAATGATTTTCTTTATTCGGACCCCGCTGATTTTTAATTGGTTACCCCTGGTTTAATGTTTATAAATATTTATTTCACGTCATGTGCGCCATCCAATGCTGATCATTGGCTCCATCCGCATCTAGTGAAAACTAGTGTAATTGGATGAGTCATATAACGCAAACACTCATTGGTTAGCTAAAGGAAATCATCAGAAGCAAGCAGGTGTTCTTCAAACTGTAAAGGTGAATTGTCTGTGCCATGCTACAATATTGGATTCAGAAAAAAATGTTGAAATGTCTGAAAGATCGAACACAGGCGAGAGCGTATCGGGAGACGGAGACCAACAAGACCTCCCTCATCCTTGGCCCTATCTCAAAGAATTTTTTTAAATAGTTGAAAAACGTAGCTTTTAATTCATATAGTGGCATCTGGCTGTTTTATTTTTAAAGGTTACTTTATACTTTTATACTTAGTTTTTTGAGCACATACTTTTTCACTTTTCCTTGAGTAAAGAGGTCAAGTTGATACTTCAACTTTTACCAGAGTGTTTATAAACTGCAGTATCTATACTTCTACTTAAGTAACAAATGTGTGTACTTTTGACACCACTGATTGCATGCTGCATATCCCAGTAAATCTGTTTCACCTTTAAATCTGCAGCTGTCCCTACTTCTCTCTGTGCTCTGTTTAAAAATATTTATGAACATATTTACCAATATGAAGATGCCAGAAACTAAATTTCAAGATTTGTAGAAGCTCTGCAGTCTGATTCTGTCTGTATAAAATGGAAACATGTTCATTTTAACCTGTAACTGGGAGTCATGGTCCTCTGAGAAGCCAAGATTTTTGTAACTAGTAAAGAAGAAGAAACTATGTTTTCTCAACCTTCTTGCTTTATAATACCAACTTGTATAAACTTACAATCTTTTCCTGTTTTTAGCTGAAAAAGCTCTGTGTGTCTAACAAACAGATTTTTCTGTGGCATCTGTAATTTTTTTAACCAACCTGTCTCCTAACTTTTACTTAAACATCGAAGTAGCTGTTGGTTAATATATACTGAGTGTGTGCTGTGTGAAAAATCAGGAAGAATCTTATTTGAGTGATTTAAAAATGGATCAACAGAGTGCTTTTAATTAATTTAAAATCGGCCTGCCATAGCCCACTTCATTTAAACTTACACATTAACTCTGCCATCTTCCTCTCCTTTGCAGCTGTAGTGCTGTTTCTCTGTCTTTTATACAATTTCTCAATTTTTTTTCATTTTCAGCATTAAAATCTCTAGTTCCAGTGGGGTGAAATAGGAACTTCCTTTTGCCTGTTGTCATGGTGACTCATCTCATCTGTGATACACTGATAACGGCTTTTCATGCTTGTTACTTACGTGCTCAGCTCTGTGTGGACCCAATTAGAGTCGATTAAACCCATTCACAGTGAAACCGAAAACTCAGAGTTCCCGACCTTAGGCTACATTAATTTAGCAGTGCGAGTTGAATCTGACTTTGTTAAACCTGTTTCGTGAAACAGACCTCCATTTATCCCCTTTGTCCATGAGCCTTTAAGGATTTTGTATTTCTGAATTGTTTTCCGGTGTAATAAAGGCTCCTATGATGAGATGGGAAACATGCTGAGCTTCAGAGCGCAGCTGCTGGCCATTTAAATCCTTTGTCCAGTCATTACGCTCATGCAGATTATTTCCACATATTTTTCTTTATATATAATGAACTTATGGAACAGGGCCTATATGGTAAAGTTAATCACCTATCTCTTTTGTAGGGCCCATTTTTCAAGCGCTTTACATCTCTCTCTATTGTATTATCTGACTCAGTAGTGAAAACCAAAGCTTTTGACATTAATAATGATATCCAGAGCCCTCAATACCTTGCAAGATCTAATGCCCCTTACAACCACATAAGAAAACTCAACTGCAGTAATCAAGTTTCAATCAAAAGGAGGTAGCATTTTAGATAAGTATTGCAGAATTAAGGAATTTTACACAAATTTTAAAATCTTTACAGTAACAAAGATGGCATCATTAAGACCCAATTTAAGCAAAAATAACTTCATTTTTTAAATTAATTCTTGCAATAATATTTTTATTTTGGTAAATTTATGATTTTAAAATGGACTGAAATAACGCCTTTTTTAAGTGAATTGTGTGCTCTCTGACTCACACTTATAAGCTTTTATTCTCTTTTTTTCCCCAGATCTTTCACATGTGTTTAAAGAGGAGGAGGATCTCAAAGAGCCCAGTTGCCAGAAGGGGGACCCCACCTTGAAACAAGAGGAGCCTTTTCATATAAAACAGGAGCAAGATGAACAAGAACAGTTTAAAGAGGAAGAGAAACATCTCTGGAATAGTTTGGATGAAAAGCCATTCGTGAAGAAAAATGAGTCTAATGACATTTTGGCGTTTCCTTGCAATTTGCAAATAATCCCCAATGAAAAAGATCCAATCAAAAGCCATGCCATTCCTCAGGAATACCCCAAAGTTGAGAACCAGGATCATGAAAGTAACAGTTCTGAAGACCAAGGAGAAAAGAGCAAAGAGGAACAGAAAGAAAACGATAGATGTCAAAACAACAAACAGTTGAACGTCACTGCTGACGTTTCAAAGCAAACTGACCTACAAAGTGATAAAGATTTGTGTATTGTGAAAACTTGTGACAAAATCCTGTCTAAAAACAGTCACTTGACTAGGCACGTGGAAAAGCAAGCTGCTAAGAAGCCTTTCTCATGTGTTACATGTGGAAAAAGTTTTCGTTTAAGAAATGTCCTAACAATACACATAAGAACACACACAGGCGAAAAGCCTTTCTCTTGTGTGACCTGTAAAAAATGTTTCATAAAACGATCTAATTTAACACTTCATATGAGAACTCACACGAATGAGAGGCCTTTCCCGTGTACATCCTGTGAAAAAAGATTCACCAGCAGAAGCTGTCTAATGCGTCACATCAGGAGCCACACAAAAAGAGAAGCCTCTTGTGCAACCTGTGGAAAATGTGTTTTAGAAAATAGTTGTGATAAACCTTTCACGTGTAATGATTGTGGAAGATGTTTCAGTTGCAAAACCCTTTTAAGAAAACATATGCGAATTCATACAGGAGATAAACCTTTCTCATGCACAACCTGTGGAAAAGGTTACTCCGATAGCAGTAGTTTAACTTATCACATGAGAACTCACACAGGTGATAAACCTTTTGCTTGTAGTACTTGTGAAAAGAGATTTGGTGTTAAAAGCCATTTAACAAGGCACATGAGAATTCACACGGGTGAGAAACCTTTTAGGTGTATTATTTGTCAAAAAAGTTTCCGTACGACTAGTGTTTTAGATCGTCATTTGAAAACTCACACAAGTGAGAAACCCTTCTCGTGTAACACTTGTGAAAAAATGTTCTCCAGAAAAAGCTATTTAAATCAACATATGAGAACTCATACAGGAGAGAGGCCTTACTCATGTACCATTTGTGAAAAAACATTTCTCATTAGAGGGAGTTTAATGCGACACCTGGGAACTCACACTGGTGAGAAACCTTATTTATGTGATATTTGTAAAAAAAGGTTCAGTTGTAAAAGCCATTTAACCCGACACATGAGAAGCTCACACTGAGAAGCCTTTCTCTAGCAAGATGTGCTAACAGTTTCAGGCAAAAATGAGAACTCATATATG